CCAATGCGCCTCAAAGAGCAGCTCGCATGCGGCTGTAAACTCCGAGGGCCAAGATATACTAGAAAGGAGGTAGACTGTATGAGGTGTTGTCCAACCATGACTGAAAGTGATTTTGCCATGCTTGATATGTGCTTTCTTTCATAAAGAGAGCTAATAGTGAATTTCAAGCTTATCTTTACCTGAGGCAAGATTTGGTTGAGTAAAAAAGACACTGCTGACAAGCAAACCTGCCAAAATAGCTTATAGTGTGTTGACCTATTGTAGCACCAATTCTGATAAACTGAAGGGAGGCACTTTAAGTTTTTTGGGGGGTTCTACACAAACTATTCAAGCAGGTTTAAGAGTTGTGGTGTGGATTTAAAATTCAGCCCCTGCATAAAAAACATCTTTTCTGTCACTGGATAGTCACAACTTGTTGGGCAGTTTTTAAAATGCACACCCAGTGAAACAGAAGAGTGATGCAGTCATGCAGGATAATTTGTCCTGTTGTCTTCATTTAAAGGCAGCAGTAAATAATGGATGAGCAAACGAGATTACACCATGCATCACAGCAGCCAAACATCTCTTTCATTTAAATTAAATTAAATTAAATTCCTGTCTTTTTTGAAATGACATAGCCGTTCCTGACATCGGAAGGATTGTCATTGTTGCACCTGATCCAGTAAATTATTCCTGCACACTTGATTGCTGACATAGATGTAAGCCAAAGCAATTACTAGATGTTACTAAACTTTTTTTCCCTAAAAATCAGCCAGATATACTGTAAATATATGCCATATATTCAGGAAATTAAGTGTGCATTCTGTGTTGTAATAATACTTGTTTAATTTACATTCTCTTTTCTTTCATCTTCCTGAATATATGCCACATACAATGTCTTCATATCACCTGCCAGGAGTCTGCATAAGGAAAACCCGTACAGGTGTGTGGAGCATGCAGGTGGTTGAGAGACGTCTCTCATAGAATACTGCACCTGCTCAACTTCCCATTCTTCTTTTTCTTGTTCTTCTCACCACCTTTACTCTCCCTTTCTTTCCCTTTACCATTTCCCTTCTTCTCCTTATTCTGCTCCTCTTTCTCCTTTTTGGATGCCGCTCTCCCTCCTTTTTTTCTTTTGTCCCGGTCATCTTCACTCTCCTCTTCGCTCTCATCTTTAGCAGCTTTCCTCCTGGAGGCTTTTGATCCTTTGCTCTTCACACTCCGTCTGTCATCCTCGTCGTCTTCATCGTCGCTGTCTCGGGGCCTGGCCTTCTTCTTTCGTCCTCTTTTCCTCGGTGCCTCATCCTCGTCCTCATCATCTTCCTCATCATCACTGACCCGTTTGGCTCTACGTTGTGGTTTGGCCCTTCTGTTTTTAGCTCTCCTTCTGGCCTCATCTGAGACAAACGTGTACAGTTTTAGACAAATAATCCAAACTTACATGCAGCAACAACACAGTTTATATTCCTTGCTTATAGGAAATGCAAAAAAATAAGGGAAATAAATGAAATAAAAATGTGCTAAAGTGGTCTGAAATCATCCAGTAAAACAATTTAAAAATTAAGAGGAAAATTGAAGATTGAAAAACTAGCAGTAACTCAGAGTTTGTCCGTCACTCCATCACACTGTGAATGACTGTTAAGGTATAGACATCTCAGAAAACTCACCTTCACTTCCACTGTCCACCACAGCATCAACCTCCATCCCAACTGGAACATATGAACAACACACATTTACATTAAATAGCAGTACGTTGCTATGAGTTACTATATATATATATATTTAAAAGGTTGATATGAGTTCTCAGCATAACAGCATTAAACAAGTCATCTCACCATCTTCAACTCTAACCACAGAATCATTTTTCCTCTTTGGAGGCATTTCGTCTGAGTCCCTTTTAGTTAGTCAGTCCTTTCCTGCTCACTTCAGACTCTGCCTCATCTCCATCCATGAGGCACTCAGTGCAGGCAGCTATGAAGGAACAGTGTCAAAAAAGCCGGTATACATAACCACACACCACCACACACACACACACACACACACACACACAGAGGAACAGGTGTGCCTCTGTTTGGGCTGTTCAAAGACAGGGCTCCTTGACAACCGTCAAAGACACACAGTTCGTTAGATGCTAATCAGGAGCCTGGGAGAAAATAGAATCTATCAGACAATGGACATGTCAATCAAAATGTTAATTGATATTATATCGGCGTAACAGGAGGACATTTACATCCAGATGCTTTAATCCTCAAGTTTATTCGAATTAGAGAATCGGTTTAATCATTGTCGTATACAGTATCTAACCATACAAGGAAACTGCTTTGGCAACAAATAAAAAAATATACTAACTGTTATTTACTTACGACCCAGTAAGGAGACACCAGAGCAAATGCAGAAATAAAGGTCAGGCCACATTAAAATTGGATGAAAGCTTAAGTAAGCCTGAGTGAAAAGCGAAACAAGTCAATGTACACAATGTACACACTGTGCACAGTGTCCAGTGGAAGTACTGTGCAACTTGAACACATGAGTTACATCAGTCAGTCTGTAATTTCACTGCACACCTGTCTGCAACCATGCTTAATTTAAAGGACAAGTATATCTAGTCAGCATTCAAGTCTGTCTAAATCACTGCAGTCATTTCTCCTGTTCATAATGGCCAAAATGTGACAAATTGTTCTGTACAACAAATCCTTAATTAAAATATACAATACACAATAAGATTACAAATTTCAGTTTAAGTGACTATGAGGCAGCAGCAGTCCTTGATTGGTCAGATTAACTGAATATTTTCTTCTTAGTCTTTTCAAGTTGTTTTTTTTTGTTTGTTTTTTTTGCAAGAAATCCTATCGGGAAGCTCTGTACAAAGAGTCACTGTGGCTTTGGGGGGAAAAAAGTCCATTTTTGCCTTTGTTATAAGACAGAAAAAATCTGAATCTATCCTTTGAAAGAGTTTGTGACTACACAGAGGTTAATAAAAAAGAGATGAAAGTGAAGTCCAGACTCTTCACATATGATGCGCTCCCACCAGGAAGATGTGGCTACTAGCTGTGTCGTGGTTATGGTCAAATGTCAGATCTGACCTTTTAAAAAATGCAGGAGGAAACAGGAGAAGCTGCCTCTATGGAGCAAACACACTTCCGGGGGTTGTATTAACACTGGCTTGAAGGGTTGCACCTGAAAGACAAGCTAAGCCCTCAGGGTCGGAGCTTCTCATGTCCTCCTTGTCCAGCCCCCACCCTCCTCCTCGCTCCTCCTCCTGAGTCAGACCTTTCAGCACCACTCTCCGTCAGTCTTCATCCTTCCTTCTCACTACACTGTGCTTAGGCTCAGAGAAGGCCCGTGTGCATTTTATTCTCGAGATCCATTAACTAAAGAGGGTCTAGACTTCCACAACTTCACACCGAGGCTGAGTGCCAGCCATTGCTCTCAAAAGCAAAACTAGACACCATCCGTGCAGTCAAATCAGTGCTTGTAGCGCCGCAATGTCTCACTCCTCCCTTCATTACCGTTAGTGAATAAGAGATGCCCATCGCGGTACACTGAGATATCCGGTAATGTGCAACCTGTCATGGCTCAGTTTTCTGCCACATTGTACCAGCATGGAGGGCGAGTGGGATGGAGCCAAAACACAACTCCAGTAGGAGGGTGAAACAAGGGGCATAGAGGGCTGCTATTACCTGGGTACACAGAGAGGGAGGCAGATTATGACAGAGTCTCCAGTATACGGAGAAAATGGAGACTTTTTATTACTTATCAAAGTCACCTCAGTCTTCATTAAATAAATGTGATTGACATTAGTTGGCTTCTGATGAAAGAAAAAAGCATAAGGACTCCTTTCTTCGGATCTCACATAACTGCAGAATTAATACTTTATGCTTAACTGCCATGAATTGATCATGAGCATCAATGAAAGCAGATTTGACTGTAATTCAATGTCAGTGACATTGTGAGCTTGTTTACTTCTTGTCTTTAATGATTCAGGCACAACACTTATTCCGTAACCCCTAACACTTAAATCTAAAGAATTTCAATGAGTCAGTGCTTGTATAGAAAGACCTGTTAACGAGGTTTAACTAATGACAAAACACTGTCACTGCTAGATTTGACTGACAGGTGAGTCATATGAGAGGTTGAGTGACAGGAGCGCTCAGTGTCCAGTAAGTGCAGAGCACAATTAGCAGTCAGGGCACTTGATATGGCCATGCAGTTATCAGATGATACGAGTCGGGCTTCTCTGCTACGTGATGAGGGTCAAATCTGAATGTTTGGCACAGATTAGACTATTTCATTGTGGTCCCACACAAGGGAATAATCTGACATATTTTGTGTGTTTTTCAAGTTCAAAGGTCACTCTGTGAATCATATTTACTTCTATAGCTAAAAACAAACAAAAACAGGTTTGAGTTGAGTGTGTAAGTTCAGTCAGAAATGAGTGAGGATCCATTTAAGCTTGGCTAGCTGGGTTAAATGACCTCCATGTCTAATGAATTGTTTAATACTTTGGCCCAGTCACAGGTCTAAGGACCGCTGTGCTCGGTGTCTAAGAGGAAAACATGTCAGTGTTGTTTAAAATGAGTTTTGAATGGGACTGAATTAATTTATTCAGAAATGGGATGAAATCCGCATCTTGGACCGCTTCAAAATCAAAAAAGTTAGTATGGAATAATAAAAAAGTGAATGAATGTAAATGTTGTGTGTAAAATTGAAAAATTATGTTGTAAAAATAACTGTTTTGGAGTGATGAGTTGCTGTGAAATGACGAGATGAGGCCAAACAGAGCTCATATGAAGACCTCTCTACAGCATAAAGATGGAGACCAAGTTCACACCAAATTAATTTACAATTTGCTACAGAATTCATTTACTGATAAAGGGTTTTAAAAGACACTAGCACTGTATGAGAACTGTAAAGCAAGAAGAAAATGATACTCTTCTCTCATTAACATTTATTTGGTAAACAAAGGAACTTCTACTAAGTTGAAATGCTTACAGCGTATTTTTTGTCACAAGCATATGGTTTGATAAAAGAAAAAACATTTCAAAATGTGCATAAACTGCCATCAAATTGGCATTCTCATCACTTCATGTCACAGTGTACAGACGTCTAGACATCAGCTTCTCAGTTAAGTGCTCTGTGTTGATTCATGTGCTAGTATTCTGATTCCATTCACTCAGTGTCTCTGCAGGCTCGGCACCCTGCACATCCTGGGCTCACTTTGCCGAGAGAAACCAGGCAGGTATCCAGGAGCCCCGTGGTTGCCGTGGTGATAGGTCCTGGGGGCAGGGGCCCTGGATGCCGGCAGCTGTCTGTCTCCAGCTGTGGGAGGAGGATGGTGTCCATTTTTACCATGATTCAGCCTTTGACTGCTGCTGAAATCTTCTTCCTCATCCGCTAGAGAAAGAGATAGAAGTCAGAGAAATGGACCTTTCAGTTATTCCTTATTAAATTAACAAAATCTGACCCTTCATATTCTGAATATTTTCTTAGTTACAACCCTTGAAGTACACAGGGTTGGGTTGAAATTTTGCACAAGTTTTTGAGCATTTTTGATAATTTCTTAATTACATTTTACATTGAAACCATAAGTTTATACATACACTGTATAAAAAGACATAAAACCGTTTTTATCTTGATGTCTGACTTAAAATCAGACTAAATGTGTTCTGTTTTAGGTCAGTTACGATGACCAAAGTGATTTTCTATTTGTTAAATGCCAGAATAATGAGAGAGAATTTTTTAGAGAATTTTTTAACCGCTTTCTTTCAAGTCAGAAGTTTACATACACTAAGATTACTATGCCTTCAAACTATTTGGGAAAGCCCAGATGATGATGCCATGGCTTTGGAAGATTTTGATACGTTAATTGACAACATTTGAGTTAATTGGAGGCACACCTGTGGATGTAATTTAAGGCACACCTCAAACACACTGCTTCCTTTTGTGACAACATGAGAAAATCTAAAGAAATCAGCCAAGATATCAGGAAGAGAACTGTAGACCTCCACAAGTCTGGTTCATCCTTGGGTACAATTTCCAAAAATAAAAATAAAAAATTAATTAAACAAAAAATCAGTAAAGCTTCTATACCACCATCGAAGCTTTACTGATTTTTTGTTTAATTAATTTTTTATTTTTATTTTTTTTAATCCAGTGGATTATTTTAAAAAATACTGGTTCCACATCAAAGGTATCAGTGCTCATTTCTATTACTCTGTATCATAGATTTTAAACTAGTGCATGACATCACATGATTTTTATTTTTTTTTTTTCATTCAATTTCAAAGTTTCACCCTCTTGGTCTTGTAATGATGCGTTGTTGTTCTTTTGTTGCTCTGCAGTCTGTGATGCTGTTTTTCTGGCCTCCTCTAGATCCATCTGCGCCTTCAGTGCCGCTCGTTTGTTCTTCCTCTTGTTTTCCTCATTTTGCTTCAAAAGAGACACACATCCTATTATTAAGTTCACTGAGAGCACATAAGTTAAAAATGTACCATCACTTTGTAAATTACTTTTATCTGTTTTTACTTCTCACCACTATTTCAGTGACTAGTGGTGACCAGAGTGGTTTTTGGACTGATATGCTGTGCTGCTCTCTGCTGGAGTGATTAGATCAATACAAGTACTGTGGCAACCACCACAGTGGCCTCAGGTGGTCTGTCTGTGCACCTGCACAATGTTTGAGAGCTTCGCAGCTGCCATGTTGAGAATGTCCATCCATCCATTATCTATCCATCCATCCATCCATTATCTATACACCGCTTAATCCTCGTTAGGGTCACGGGGGGGCTGGAGCCTATCCCAGCTGACTCAGGGCGAAGGCAGGGGACACCCTGGACAGGTCACCAGTCTATCACAGGGCTACACGTAGAGACAGACAACCAAGCACACTCACATTCACACCTACGGACAATTTCGAATCCCCAATTAACCTCAACATGTTTTTGGACTGTGTGGGAGGAAGCTGGAGAACCCAGAGAGAACCCACGCTGCACGGGGAGAACATGCAAACTTCACGCAGAAAGATCCCAGTGTCCCCACCGGGACGTGAACCTTCTAGCTGCGAAGCAACAGTGCTACTAACTGTGCCACCTTGCAGCCCCTGTTGAGAATGTTTGCGGTTAAAATTGTGAATAGTTCTGGTCACATAGTTCGTTGAACAAAATTTTCTCAACTTTCTCAACTCATCATTGAGCTGCGAATATCATTCATGGGGACATTTCCAAGTGTAAGAACATATTCAAAGGCACAGAAGCATGCAAGCAGTAGATGACAGGTTACCGTTTGTAGTTTTTTCTTCAGCTCCACATTAGCTTCTCTGTAGCTTTTGGATGTAGACTGCAAGTAATAAATGGCCAATCTGAAAGAGAAGATAGCAGATGAGCATCAAAGAACCTAAAACATTACCACAAAATAATGCAAGATGTATTCGTGCACAACATTTTGTACTTTCAGACAGTCTGCTGTTGACTCACACCATAAGCAATATGAAGGGCAGGACCAGCCCAGGATTAGAGGCGTAGCTGAACACTTTACTAAACCAGGCAGGGAAGTCAGACTCCAACGTCTCATGGATCACATCAAACATGCGGTTCTTGCCACTGTGAAGAGGAGGGTAAAAGTGAGAGAAAGAAACCCAGGTCATTATATTTTAAAGCCAGATGTTCAAAATTGTCATCACCTCTGTTACTGCTCTTTTCCCCACTAACAAACACATTCCACTATGTGCAATAACCACTACCACCTCATCTTTGTGTATATAGTCTTCTTAAAATAAAAAATAAAAAAAACCTCTTCTGTATAAAATGGTTTTTTGTCTTGCAAAATTTACACTGTGTGTTTTCTGTTTATGTTTCTTTCCTACAGTTTGCACTGGGTGTTCCCAATTATTCTTGCACTGACTGCACACTTTTTTTGGAGCTGTTGTAACGGTGAACTTTCCCCACTGTAGGATCAATAAAGTTATCTTTATCTTTATCTTTATTACCTGAAAGGTCCACAGTCAAAGGAGGGAGGGATGGTGACGATGGTGTAGATGGCAGGCAGAGTGGACAGGAAGAGGATGACCAGCAACATGGCCATGTAGAAGTTGTTGGAGCCAGAGGCCTTGAAGACCCTCTCCTGCGGCACATTGCAGCACATCACGGCCCAGCACTGCAGGTACATGGACACGTGGAGCCGGAGGACGTTCAGGGCAGGCAGGCAGGGCGCATAGAAAGCTCCCATCCTGGAGGAACAGATCAGACAAAACGCTGAGTGAAGGACAGATGCAAAGCTTTTCATTAATACCAGAGCTGCTAGTTGAAAATAAAACACAAAAATAAAAAAATTACAGTATGTGTTTATTTACCATATCATTCCTTGATTGAAGATCAGGCCCAGGACGTTCCCACTGACATCAAACTCAGAGTAGGATGGCTTTTACAAATGACACAATATAGACAACTATAACTCTGCTGTGTCACCTTCAAAGGTGAAATTAGAATTATCCTCAGGAAAAAGGTGTGCGAGTAAAAAGTTGACTCACAAATCCGGCCTCAAGGTCCCAACACCAGCAGTAGTTGAGGAAACGAACGAGCACAGCTCTCAGGAAATCACCAATCAGCAGCGTGATGTAGGTTGTCATAGTGTCAGATATGATCAGCCGGACAAACTCCTGCAAAGCATGACGCAGTCGCATGTTGTTACATACAGCATTTGACATGATGTATTTACTGCCGTGAATACTTTGAAGGAAAAAGAGTTCAAAAGACAAAATGATTATACATGTCTCAATATTGAACATTCAAGTGAAGGAGGATTTATCAAAATTATTGTATGACATTGTTCAAACATAGATAGATAGTGATTTTTTTTTTTTTAAATTTAAATCCTAAATTACCTGTATCTCTTTTGCTTTTAATGTTATTATGTGCTTTGTTTTGTTTTGTTTTTTAAATATTGCAATAATGTTAAATTGCAGGACATCACAGAGCAGTAATAACAAACCTGTTAACAATTTATAGACTATTAAAGAACCTCAAGAAAAGTCACATGAGTTTCTTATAATTGTGCATTTTGATTTACCTTTTCACAGTTAACTCTGCCTTTTACAGCTATCTGATGTAAAGCAAGAGAAATGTCCTGAGGTTTAAAAAAAAAAACTTTATTATGCACTTATTACCAGTTACTGATGCTGTTTGCAGCCATTTGATTTAAAGTTAGAAAAACTGCGTTGTGAAACATAAACAAATTTTAGAAAATGTCATGGTAAAATATATTGTGTAGTATTTTTTTTTTAATGACCTAACATAAACTCTGTAAAAAGCCTGATCTATGGTAATATTAATGCAATAAGGTCTTTTTAAAAAAAATCTCTGATTACAGTACTTTTTTGTATTAGCTGTTCATTTATATGAATATATATTTATATTTATATATTCATATTGGTGACTTTTGGTATCCAGGATTTCATGCTGCAGCAACAACTACATCACACAGTTACATAATAGTGCACACACACACACACACACTGACCTGCCCCACCATGGTCTCCCAGCAGGGCCCTCTAGGCACATCAGCAGGGTGGATGGTGATGGAGGGAGCAGTGCTGTTTTCTGATACCGTGCCATTGTAAAGACTGACTTCCCACATGGTTATGTTAAACTTTATTATCTTTTCCTCTTCCCTCTGAGATAGACACACTTTAGATTAATATGTTTTATTTAAACAATTTCACAAAGCTGCAGGCGTGGGCTCTCACTTTAAGATTGATCTCATCCATGAGCGCAATGATGAAGGTGTAGAGGTTCCCCAAGAAAAGGGCAAAGATGCGCCCCAGCTGCCACTGCAGGGCGACACGAGGGTGGTAGTTCTCCAGGGCGCTGATGACGTCAAACAGCATGGGGCAGAACATCCCCAGTAATGACATGACCATGTTCACCTGAGAAATGCACAGGTATTAGACTCAAGAAAAGCTACTATAATTATATGTAAAGACACAACAGGACTACAAAGAATTTCCGTAGTGTGTAGCCTGTTTTTACCCCGTATGTAATAATACAGTTGGCAGCAAAATTATCTCTGCTTCTTGGGATACATTTAAACTGTGTGGTAAACAGTAAACTAAGTGGCACTGTAGATTTAGGTCTCATAGCAGTAGTTGAGTTCACCTCATGATCATTCACCTGCTAAAAATCTGCCATCCTACAATATTTCAAGTTTATTATTGAAACTGGGCAAACTACCCAGAGATAAGTGTTGGTGTAGTGATTTTTTTGCAATGTATCTAACCATTTGACATCTAATTCTTTGTATTTGAGTAATGTAGGTGGGTCTTACGTGTTTTGTTAGGTTACTTTCATTATTTACTGCAATAGTGTCTCAAACCTGCACTAAACACTAAATCTGAGCATTGTTTCTATATGTAATGGGTTCATATTGAAGAAGAAAAACATGAAACATATCAAAAACTTTCACTACATTATTCTTTCACAAAATAATTCATAAAGGATACTAAGAAGTATTTTTTAAAAATGTGGTTCCTGATAAAATAAATCTCATTACCGACTCAGCTTCCTGTTTTGTACCACAACCAAGAGAAAATTTTCATTTTCTGACTTCTCATAGCAGGAAAAACTAGTGTAAATAGAGACTTTAAAATTTACTGCATATCATTTAGGGGAGCTAGTTTCAGGATTTCAGGGTTCTTCTATTGCAATTGTCATTCAACACACTGTTTGTCAAATAAAATGAATACTGTACTTCCTTACACAATGTTCAGTTTTGGTTTTCCTAGAAGCCAAACCAACACTGAGCATGTGCAATAACAGGGAGCTAGAAAATTTAAATGTAATAGGCCTTTATCATCCATCCATTATCTATACACCGCTTAATCCTCTCGAGGGTCGCAGGGGGCTGGAGTCTATCCCAGCCAACTCAGGGTGAAGGCAGGGGACACCCTGGACAGGTCACCAGTCTATCACAGGGCTACACTTAGAGACAGACAACCAAGCACACTCACGTTCACACCTAGAGACAATTTTAGAATCACCAATTAACCTCAACATGTTTTTGGACTGTGTGGGAGGAACCCACGCTGCACAGGGAGAACATGCAAACTCCACACAGAAAGATCCCAGGTATCCTTACACAAACTGGGGATCTTCTAGCTGCGAGGCAACCACTGAGCCACCTTGCAGCCTAGGCCTAAACCAGCATTAATAATAAATGATGAGCTTTTAGCTACTGTGAAAACACTGAAAATGAAAAAGGATTACAGGGCAAATTCTAAAAACCATGTGTGATAATTTTGAACCATATATCATGCAATTTTGTATAATAAAACAACTCAGGAAGTCTTTCTTGCTGCCAAAAATGATTCATACACTTCTTTGTTATATTTGTCTTTCTCTCTTTTCTACCTCATTCCTTTCCCACCAGGTATGATTCTCCAGGCCATCGAGGGCAAACTTCTGAGAGCGCCGCACTACAAAGTAGATGAGGTATCCGCTTCCTGCTAAGCAGCACAAGACCAAGAAGTTGGCCAGCACCCGCAGGAAACGAGTCAGGTGGATGTTGTCATCCTTGTGGCTCTCTTGCTCCTCTAAGATTGCCTCCTGCAGAGGTAGAAGATGGGAAATACAGTATATAAATGTGATATACTGTGTCGCATCAAAATTACATCTGGAACAGTCAGAAGCTCTGACCTTGAAGCTGGTGGTGATGGAGGCAAACTTGTTGTCTGCCGTTTCAGGGTTTCCTATCAGGTAGTCCCAGCTGGTGAACATTTTCCAGCTGAAATTGAAGCTGTTGTCATCTCCAACCCCTGATTCATTTGCGTTACGGGCCATCCTTAAATCAGACATAGTCACACACTCAGCGTAGCTTAAAGAGGTTTATTAATTGTGCAGAGGCATTTTAAACTTACGTTCTTATGACCACCATATAGCTATAGGCCACTGTTCCCACACCAACCAGGAAGTACGACAGAGGCATGCGGAACTTGAGCCAGCCAATGGCTCGCTGGTTGTTGTAGAAACCATAGAAGAGGACTGAATACTGTGCGTAACCCTGTGGACACAAGTTTAGGTCTTTTTTCAAAAACTGCCAAAACCAAGCAAGATCAAATGTTTTTTTTTTACAGTAAATCATATAAGCATGATGTTGAATACATGTAGTAGACTCACCCCAAAGTCCCACAGGACAGCAAAGTCCATGGCACTGGCCTCCTCACCTCTGGGGACAGTCTTTCTTGGCATGCTTCCATAGGGTCGCCCCATTAATGCCTGTTGGCAAAAACCAGGGGAAAAGGGAAAGCCTCATTAGAAGAAAAAAAAAACTCCAAAGTATTTAAATTGATGATGAAAAATGGTGGTATACCTCTGGCACCATAACAAGGCCAAAGGTGAGACCAAACAATATCATATTGATGCCATACATCCACCTCAGGAAGATGAAGTATGAGGCAACCGAGGAGCCAAAATGACCTGAGGGCCAGAGGGAATAAATACGAGGATTGTTATTACTCAAATATAATGGTTGTGACATACAGTCAAGATAACTAGAGTTTTAAAAAAAATAAAACTATGAGGGGGAAGTATGTCAGAAAAAAAAGATAAAGCCTACTTTCAATCTCCTTTATTTTCATTTCCCATGGGATGCAGGCAGTTTTGAAGTTTTCAAAGTCCCGTTGGAACTTCATCCATTTCTAATACCATGAATTTTAAAAATTAATCATATATTCATTGAGATTATTTATATGATTATATGAATACGTGAAAGTCCTTGCCTTGGTCATCATGACCTTGTACGCATACAGCTTCCTGCCTTTTCCTTTCCCCAAAGCTCCCTCATATTTCTCCACAAACTCCTGAGACTCCCTATAAGAAAGCAGATGTTTGGTTAAAGTATGGTCTAGTGACGCCTTGAATTAAAGCTGAGAAGCAAATTTTAATGTTATCAGCACCGTAAGGTGACAAGCTTCTTTTTCATTGGAAAGGGTTTCCCCCTCAGACCCTGGATCAGTTTCTTTCTGTCATCCACGGCCTCCTTCAGCTTCTCCAGCTCCTCCGGTGTCAGATTCTCTGGCCTCACCTCTTCATCCTTGTTGTCCTCTTCTTCATTGTCTTCTTCTTCACTCGTCTCCTGCTCTGAACTGAGGCATGTAAGAGTGTTGTTTTAGTATCTTTCTTATGTGCATGACACAATAATTTTTCTAGAAAAATATAGTCAAGATAAAATAATTTACCTTGTTTCAACTACCTTCTTGTGCTTTTTCTTCTTCTTCTTCCCCTCACGTTCTTTCTCCTTTACCATATGTTTACCTCCATCCTCTTTCTTCTCCTCTTTTTTGGCACTCCCATGTTTCTTTTTCCGCTTTTCATTTCTTTCATCTTCTTCTACCTCTGCTCTTTTCCTTGTTTTTTCATTTTTTATATTCTTCTTTGTTTTTGCCACCTTGCCACCTGTTGTTTGGACCTGCTCCTCCGCCTCATCCTTCTCTCTTCCTTTTGCTTCTTGATCATTCTTTGCTCTTTTTCTTTTGCCCCTTTCTCTTCTCTCAGGCCTGGTCTGTACTTCATCTTCGCCTTCTTCTGCTCTATGTGCTTCCTTTCTCCTCCTCTTTTCCCTCTTCCTTTTCTCTCTGTCGCCATCTCTTCTTTTTCCTCTGTGTCGCTCCCTCTCGTGTCCCTCTTCTGAAGCCAAAACATCTTCGTCCTCTGCAATAAAAATATAGATGCTGTGCTGTTTTTATTATCGACTCTCATTCACATCATTGACACCTTGACCTTGATACTTTCTTTCTGCGGATTATAAATCCACCCAGTTATCTCACACATCTTATAGTGTTGTGGAGTTTTTTTACTCTGTCACTGACATATTTTAGGTTTGATGATCCTGTGACAACTGGGGGAGAAAAGATATGGTGGCAGCAGAGATGAGAAAACTGAGTGACTGAGCAAAAACAAACTGCTCCTACAAAATAAAGTAATAAAAGCCCAAAATAAATCGGGAATTTTCCGTCTCTTTAGTCACTTATTTAGGAAAAATCTTTTATGCTTGTCATACCCAGAGAAATGGCCCAAAGAAATGGAACCTTTAGTGATTCATGTAATAACAAAAGAGCCACTCACCTGCCAAATCCAGTCCAACGTCAACTATGAGAGAGAAACAATTTCACTGTAAAAATGAAAAAGTTGAGAAAATACAGTGCCTTGTTGTTTTATGTTATCACAACTTCTAATTAATTTTTAGCTCGGTTTTTTCTTCTTTTTATTTTTGTTAATTTTCATGAATATATAGCTTTTTCTCTAAACATCCGTTCATCTTAACTTTCAAATTGGATCAATTCTTGCTGGGCATTTAGTCAAGACAATTTAACCTGAAAGACCAAACTCATAATTTGAATCACTACACAGTTTATGTTGGCCTGGCATAAAACTGACACTGACTGTCAAATCAGAAAAGAAAAGGTTATAGTATACAGTGCAGCAAAATCTGACTTAAAATGCCTTAAAGGAAGACCCTGGCTGGGTTACCTGACACAGCTTCATCTTTGTCTTTAAATGCTGAAAATATTTTCTTACTGATTTGTGCTTCTGATAAAGAAGATAAGATGACATTTTAATGTTGTAGCTACATGAGTAGTATTATGTAATTCTTCTGAAATTTGCTGTGATATGAAACATTTTTTCTTTTATTGTGTAGTGTTTTTCTGATAAAGTATCACCTGTATAATTCCTCTACAGCCTAACCGACCTCTTCCTCCTCAGATGACCTCGGCTCTATAAATCTATAAATCATTTTTTCTTCCTTCAATACCACGCTGACCCCTTTCACTGGTATTAAGCTCCCTTATTGTGTACCTAGAACTATTATACTGCAGTAAAGGGGGATAAAGAGGAAAACAAAGAGGACCACTGACAGATATTTATGTAGTCGGCCTTTTGATGTGTGTCCTTAGTGTAACCGGAGTGGCCGGCACACGGGTCATTACGGCCGGGTGCAGCACAGGGGCACAAAAGACACAAACAATGGCCTAATGAAGGGAGACGGGGTGACTAAGCCCACAAGGACGGGGGAGACAGCCAAGGGCCAGAGGCCAACTCCCAAATATGCAGCAGAGTGAGTTGGGGGCCAGAACATACTGCGCAAATGTGCTTGCAGTGGTCAAAAGCTGGTGTTTGAATTTGATTTTATTGATCAAAACAAGTAATCATGTGTAAATAGCTGTACTGTTTACTTGTCCTCATATTACTGAACATAAGGCTCAATAAATATGGATGTTTTGTCCAAAAATAGCTTCCAGTCAATTGTCACAACAACATCACAGAGAACAGAGGGCCTTGCTTCATTTAAGTAATCAGCAATATGAAATTATTTTTCTAAATAAGCCTGTTGTCATTAAAAAAAAAAAAAAAAATTAACTGCAGACTAGATAAATCTATCAGACTTTATCACCACAGAGAGATAAAAGTTTGAACAATGAACATCCTGTTGTGAAAATACTGCTCCATCATGTAATGAGAAAAGCCGTTCAGTCATGAGAATATAAACATGATCTTACTGTCATTCTCAGAGGTGATCAGACTGTCTCGAGGCATCTTCCTCTCATGGTCCTGTGTCTCCGAGAACAGTCGCCCAGCGTCCAGAGTTCATGTGAGCTGGAAACGAATGAAGCCGCAGTGTTTCAGTGGTCTCGCTCTCCTTCTGCATCTAAGGTGTGGATGCAGTTCATCCAAGTGCATGTAATACTTGTGTGCTTTGAGGGGCTGGTACATGATGAGCAACTCGCATGAGAAGTTCACTTTTTCCTCGCCACCCATCGACCCGAAACAGGGACAATGATAGCATGGAAACCCTAGAGCCACGCAATTTCACTAGTGATCAATTATTCAGAACAGTTATGACTGCCTTTATGTGGTGGTGTTTGTGAATGTTTATGGGTGTGTGTGTGTGTGCACACTTCTAAGTGTGTGTGCGGAGAGACAAAAAATAAAAAACAGGAGGGTTTTGAGAGTAGCAGGCCAAAGTCAGGGTCAGAGCTGTCTGACAGATTGTTTTCATTGTATCATAATGGATGAGTCAGCTGCTTCGGTTCACTGAGAAATCACGCTCACCTCATGGAGCTGAATGTCCTCTTGGTCTGCTATTGGCTTTTCTTTGTGCAATAATAGCAATGATGGTTGATCGCTATATACATGCTTTCTTTATTTAATTGATTCACACATCCGTCAGATGCATGTTCCTTCTGTTCCTACACAATAACGTTCGTCACATGCAGTATCCGCATTATGTGTAAATAGGCTTCTATGGTTTATTAAGTAGCAACACTTATCTACAATGTAAAGTATTTTTTCATTTTATTTAGGACTTTTTTTTTTCTCTAAATATGTGCTTCACAGGTTGCTATAAAAATAAATAAAAGCATCAATCATTCTATTACCTTGTTTCTAAAAATCCTAATGTAATGGTAGATATTTAGTTGTAGCCTGCGCAGATTCCTCTGGTTAGAAAATATTTTCTGTGTCTGTCATATTAAACTAAGTAAAGGCCAAAGCTGACATTTGCAAAATGTGTTTTGATATGAGCTGGTGATGAGTGTGAGTCATGTTGTCTGACGCCTGAGTGTCTGGGTAAGTTTTTGGACTAATTCAGCCATCTGACACATCTGAGTGTGTGTGGTTTTTATTAAATGATGTTTTAGGATTAATAGATTTTTGTTTTGCTTTGTTTTGGTTGAGGTTTGGAATAGGTTAAGGTTATTCTAAGAGCATGGGATTAGGTGTGCAGGCATGCGTTGATTTCTGAGGATGCTAAATGTTGGTAAGGTTGGCGGTTCGATCCCCCGTCCCCCCCACATGCCGAAGTGTCCTTGGGCAAGACACTGAACCCCAAGCTGCTCCCAATGGTAGATTAGCGCCTTGCATGGCAGCTCTGTCGCCATTGGTGTGTGAATGTGTGTGTGAATGGATGAATGAGAAACACATTGTAAAGCGCCTTGGGTACCGCTAAGGTAGGAAAAAAGGCGCTATGTAAGTGCAGACCATTTACCATTTACCAAATTCATGGCAAAGATGAAAATGGTTAGATTTGAGAAGTATGTTCATGCAGAACAGACATCGGGGTCCATATATAATGACTTGACTAAAAAGAGGAGGTGAATACAGGGAAGTTCAAGTCCAACAAGCCTGTAGAGGGTGGTGTTGCTCCACACTGATTCCAGTACAGCACAGCACCAGGAAGAGACTGAAAGACACACTTCTGCCTCCTTAAAGATGTTTTAGGCATATGTGTCCGAGTGTATTTGTGGAAGCCCGTGTGGTGAAAAGTGCAGGGTGTCACAGACATGTAAGCATGTTTGTGTACATGTGCATCAACTCATGCGTGTATAAGTGGAAAGTAGAGCAGGAATCCTATCAGTTTCCCTAAGCTAAAGTTAGCTGCAGCTATGAGGGAGTCATTGAACAGGCAGGTGAGGGAGGTCGTCAAGGCCACTTGAGCTGAGAACAGCATCAAAACAAACTGTAAGATCTATGTGACTGTAAATGGATACATCTCTGCAGCACAGCTAAGACGGTTACCAGAGGAACAGATCAGAATCTACAAGGCTCCATAATCAGGTTACTGAAAAGCAGGAGTTAATTTCTATCATGGAACTAATAATAACAAAACCAAACACAGCGGGTATCATCAATTAAGGTTGATCTACACTCAAATAATCCATCCATCCATTATCTATACCGCTTAAACGCGGGAGGCTGGAGCCTATCCCAGCTGATTTAAGGCGAAGGCAGGGGACACCCTGGACAGGTCGCCAGTCTATCACAGGGCTACACTTAGAGACAGACAACCAAGCACACTCACATTCACACCTACGGACAATTTAGAATCACCAATTAACCTCAACATGTTTTTGGACTGTGTGGGAGTAAGCCGGAGAACCCAGAGAGAACCCACACTGCACGGGGAGAGCATGCAAACTCCATGCAGAAAGATCCCGGTGCCTCGACCGGGACGCGAACCAGTGACCTTCTTGCTGTGAGGCAACAGTGCTAACCAACTGTGCCACCCTGCAGCCCCACTCAAATAATGAAGAACAATATATTTGCACATCTTATGGTATCTAGCTTTGCAAACAGTTTGGTTTGTTTTATCCAGGCTTGAAAAGTTTCTGATATGTATGCCTCTATACCCAAAAAGGTAAAGAATGTTATTTAGTTTTTATTGCTCATTGCTCCAGAAACAATGTCCCAGTTAGTCAGGGCTCAGATGTTGCTGTGAGCAGTTTTATTTAAAGTTCCTTTCTACCCAAGAAATAGTTGCCGTACAAATTATGTCAAAACTAATTTTGATGGTTGTTGTGGCCTTTATTAGGACGATTGTGACACCTTTATGTCATACAATGTCAAGCTGAGCAGTTGCACATACAGTATGTGACAGTGATGATATAGTACGAATTGGAAATGTGTAGAAAACAGGGAATTAGAATTGAACATATTTAAGGGATCAAGGATCAAGGATGTTTATTGTCATTGCATTTCTACAACAAAACTTTGTTGGCACTTTTGAAAACAACACAGAGTATAACAAACAACTACAAACAGCTTTGTAAAAACACGTATTAAAAATAAAAACAAATATTATTTAAAAATGTTTTTAAAAAATATTCATTAATATCAATATTCATGGGGAAAAGGATTATAGCAACCACACAGTACACTGAATAAAATGTGCTAAAATGTATGCTTTACGATGAAAATGTTTTCTTTTTTTTTCTGTTTTTTTTTTTTTTTACATTATTTACATTATTTATTTATACATTATATTAATTTACAAGATGTTGATGACAAATCACCACCGAAACAAGCAATCAGTGCCATGGGTGAGGATTTCCACCTTGAAACTGCAGTTTTCTGAGGACAGTCTCAAAAACATGGTTTCAGATTTCTGGGGTTTGTAACAAACCTAAAGAATCAATCCCATCAATTTACAGGGGGAAGCTTTCTGCGTGATTATCCTTCTTGATGCATGTGTGGCTGAATTACTCCAATATTACAACTTGCTTTTGTCTGGCATAAAGTGGTTTTATAGCATTTTGACCAGAGTTGTAGGTGAGCTGGTGTGCTCCAGCAGCAGCATGTAGTGAATGGGTGGGTAGAGCAAGAAGAACATAAAGCTGTACAATTTAAAGACAACTACAAATTGAGTTGCTTTCAAGCCATTTTAAGACACTAAGGGATTATTTTGATAGAAAATAAAACTTCTAAATAAGTACCATTGACACACAGAGTGGAGTTTTTCAGGGTTTAATCAATGATCACAGAACAACTTGAACGATTTAAAACAATGTTGTTTGTGGACTTTGGTGTACATATTGATGTCTGAGCAGACAATGATAGGAGAGAAGTCACTGTGCATACACAGCACAGTTTGTCTGTGCTTTATTTTGTTGCTGGTTAGTGAAACAGTAAATTTATCTGTAGCTATCAGTATGCAGTTAGACAGTGATTCATCCATCTGTTGGCGTGATTAAAGGCCACTGAACCCTGCAAACTGCCTGCATGCACTGTGTGAGTCAAACAGCAGCTGATTTAAAAGATGATTTGTCTGCCGCCAAGCTCATCGGCCCCTAATGCAGACCAGAGAGGCAGGAAAAGCAACATCGACTTGGAGGAAGTCGGTCTATTGAGGTCTAAAGGCACTGTACTGTACCTCACTAAAAATAAATACGAGGACCTCATAAAAAATCCTTTATCAGAAGAGTCATGAATTATCAGGAGGAACAATCAGCAACATTAAGGAAATGTCATCAAAGCAAACTGTTCTGCAGCTGGCCAGGCTATGATGTTGAAAGATGACTAAACAAGATTTATTTATTCATAAAGCCTGTTTCCTTTATGTCATGGGTTATTTTTAGCGTGCTGCAACAGTCCAAAAAACAAATGCACAAGCATCATCCATTTGAAAGAACCTGCTTTTCTTTCTCTGCCAATAACAATCTACCCGTGAACTTTGTATAGCATTAGAGCTCCACAAATGTTGACACTAAATGTAAAGCAGCAGGGAGTTTTGGCCCCTGAGGGTGAAACTTGCCTGTTTTTGTCAGAGAGGGAGAAAGAGAAGAGAGCAGAGAGTACAGGTTAATCCAGGTGTGACTCAGACTATAAACACATTTTTGCCAGAGGGATTGAAAATGAGACAATCACTGCATACACAGACTTGTCATTAAATGTGTCTAAAGCACAGCGCATGATGTGCAATTTCAATAACATACAGCTTGTTTACCTGCGCGACTATCTGGAAGGATTGATTGAGTAGAGGTTTCAGACGTTAGGCTTTCAGTTTTCAGTATTTTTCAGTTTAAGAGACTGCAGAAAACCAGACTTCTTTACATTTTACTGCTGGAATTCCATCTGGTTTAATGCCAACATGCCTTTGCTTCGAGAGTCAGCCCTTGCACAGCAGGATCTCTCCCTCCCTTGTTTTCCCCAGCACTAAATTCCTTCTTCCTATTTCTGGGTGTTTCTGACAAGAACAACTGACCGTTGCCCATTAAGGAAGGAAATTCCAGCCTTCAACATATCAAGAGCAAGCGGGAACATGAGAGACAGAGACGGTTTACATAGTGTGGAAAA